CGTGAGAGGGGATGGCTACCCAAATCTGAAATTACCTCAGGTAGTGATCAAAGGAGCTCTCACAGAGTGGTAACACCTTGATGCTGACTCTCAGAACCTGTACTCATGGCCGAAATGACACTTTTCCTAAATAGGCTACAAAGATGAAAATCCATGAAGTGTCATTTTGGGCAATGTCATCTAATGCTATTTAATTAATATATAATCTCTATAGTCCTAACGTAATAAAAATGAAATGGGAAAGTAATTGTGATGGTTAATATTATGTATCTATTTAACTGGCCACAGTTAATCTGGTTAATCTGGTGCCCAGATTAAACATTATTTCTGGGTGTGTCTGTGAGGCTATTGTTTCCAGGTGACATTAGCATTTGAATTGTGAATGCAGTAAAACATATTGTCTTTCCCAATGTGTGTGGGCATCATCCAGTCTCTTGAGGGCCTGCCTAGAACAGAGGCAGGAGGTTTCGTTTTGCTCCCTGCCTGCCTACTTGAGCTGGGATGTAGGCTTTCTCCTGCCCTTGGACTAGGACTTATACCATTGACTACCCAGGTTCTCAAGTTTTTAAACTTGGAGTACATTACACCACCAGCTTTCCTGGGACTCTGGGCTTCTACATGGCAAGGCCTTGAATTATTCCACCTTCGTAATCACATGAGCCATTTTCTCATAATAAATCTGCTTCATCTACATGAAGGGCATATATGTATATAATATATGTACATATATTATATAAATACACACACACACGAGGTTGGAGAATAAAGTATGCAAACTCATCCTAGAAAAACTGCTACATACCTCATTGTTGAATATCACTATAGTCACCTTCGAAATACTCCCCTTGGGAAGCTATGCACTGACGCTAGTGCCTAGTCCAACCTTCAGAGCAACTTTGGAACTCTTTTTCTGGAATGGCCATCAGAGTTGTTATCGTATTACCCTTGATGTCCTGAATGTAATCAAAATGTCTTTCTTTCAAAATTTCCTTTATCTTCAGGTACAGAAAGTAGTCATTGGGACCAAATCAGGGAGTGTTCCCATACAGCTATTTGCATACTGGCTAAAAACTGCCTCACAGACAGTGCAGTGTGAGCTGGTGCATTGTCATGATGCAAGAGCCATGAATTGTTGACAAAAAGTTCAGGTTGTCTTAACTTTTTCACCCAGCCTTTCAGCATTTTCAAATAGTAAACTCGGTTAACTGTTTGTCTAGTTGGTACAAATTCATAATGAATAATCCCTCTGATATCAAAAAAGGTTAGCAACATCGTTGCAACAAGTTCTCAAAGGTAACTGTCAGACATCTCATGTGTGTGTGTGTATACACATATATATATACATACATGTATATAATATTTATATATTTTATGTATATGGTATATACATATAATATTGACTCTGTTTCCCTGGACATTCGTGGCAAATGCAGTATGAAAGAATTCTAAAATCCTGGGTTAAGTGAACTGTGATAATGATAATGACTCAGGTGAACAGTGTAATTTCAAAAGATGTGTGCCTAAAAAGGACTTGGGACAAGTAAGGGTACAAAGAAAATCAACCCTAATCCTGTAAAATCAAGTTGGATAAGGAAAAGCCATAGTGGGGAAAAAAAAAAGCTTTGACTCTATATACCATCTGAGGGAGTCTGTAGACTGGGGTCCAGCATTTGATTAATAGAAGAGGTGGTTAAATGATGAGGCACCCCTTTTTTAACTCCCTTTTCTCATGGGTCTCAGAATCTTGATGTCATGCCACTTTTGATATCTTTTCAGAAGATTAACACCAATTAAGCATCTCATTTATTTTATTAAAAGTTGCAAGGATTCCCTTATGGAAATTCTTGCTATGTGCTCCTCCTCCCCTGATCTCTCAGATGAAATCAGTTTCTGGGTGGCAGGTATGGTCCAAGGAGATGGACAAGGTTAGTGATTTTTCAGGAACTGCTGAGAT